CTGCGAAGCCTGTCTGAACTCAACCACTGTGGCTAGGAAACCTTACGAATATTTGCTGAATCAAGGCACTTGTGCCTCGGCAGATGGCTCAGGCAGTAGGGACATGGAACCCTGGCTGGATGGGACACTGGGACTTGCAAAGTCAGCACCGACATGGCATGCTCATGCCCTTGCTGATGCTGCACAGTATAGTCTCTCTTTCTACATGTCCGAAGGAATACATGTGCAGGCATATATATATATATACATGCAGGTATACAGTAGTATGCATTACCGCGCAGTTGAAAGCAGCTTGGCACTTTCAAGCCAATGTGAGTCAGACTTGACCCCATCATCGTACTACTCCATACATCTCCATATCTTGTTTGTATGTTTTCCAGTATGTTATAAGTATATATATAATATATAATATGTCATATTATACAGATAAATAATCATAAATACTGATACTAGTCCATACTGTCCATAACTTGTTTTTTGATATTTTGCTGTATGTTTTCCAGTCGCCGTCGCCGACGCCTTTCTCGCTGGAAGGCGGCCAGGAAGTTGAGGCACGTCCGACGCGTATTGCGCCTGCTTCACGACCTATAGCGAGACGGCTGTCACCAACAGTCAGCAGCACAGTAAATGATAGAAAATGATAGAAAATGATAGAAAATGTTGATACATCAGATAGGAAATATTAGGAAATCCTGCGCACAATAGTTCCTTGTTGTCTTTCTTCCCTGAAAGTCATTGTTCTTGAGGCATCCACCCCAGCTGCCAGGGGTTGGTCAGGCAACATTGCCAGAAAGTCGCAAGCATCCTCAATGGTCCAGCTCTGCAGGGTGCGTTGCAGAACTGAAACTGACCATTGAATGGTGATTTGAAAGCGACCACAAGAATTGAAGCACGGATTGGCTGCAAACAGACAAGATCAGCATAGTCATGAAAGTCTTCCAGAAATTCTGGCCGATGGTGATCTCTTTAAACCCAGCTAAAACAGTAGACTCAGTCAGTAGGCCAAGAACAAGTAACAAAACATGGCCGACATGACCATCATCTGCTGAACGGACCGCTTGGTTTTTCTCTGGGTTTGACAAGGAAGCATGCTCATACTCTCCGCTGGGCTGGGGCCAAGACTTTCTTGGAATGGCGCTTTGGTGCCTCGGAACTTGCTGGTTTGGGCGTCAAATGCGTGAGTCCAGGGTGAGCAAAAGGTACGAGAGCTGCGGACAACATATAGCACTACAATTGTTTTAGCCACAGCTGCGTCATCTCGAACTTAATAAGTCGACTGACTTAGGAGTTGTAATTAGGATAAGTCAGGTTGGAGTTAAAGAAAGTTAACTAACTCAGAAACTCAGGCTACTTCGTAGCTAGTTTTACGAAACCGCGCAGCAGCTTGTCCTGCTTACATACAATGAGTAGGCTACATGAGTTCGCCTACTTGGCGACTGAATAATAACATGTAACTTGTCATGGGGCTATTTGAAGGCTATTTTGGTAAGGGCTACTTAGGGATTGCGACGGCACGAGCTGGGAGGTGCGTTTCCGAAAACCCGCCGCTGGACGCCGTTCCAGAACGGAGCCAAGCTGGCTAGCCAAAAATACTTTAACCCAGCTGTTGACCAGTCATCAAATGTCCCTCAATTATTTATGAACAAGTTGTAAGTTGCAAGTAGCTCCCAACTAAGTCAAAAGTTGCCCACGCGTGCCACCCAAACTAAACCTGGACCTCTCCCAAGTACTGCCCCTGCCACGGAAAAAGCAAAGTCATCTCAGAAAGACAATGCAAAAAGGTGCTGCACCTGCCCATACATACCTGAAGCCATCAATTTGCTGGGTTCCATGGGTTTTCGGATCTTAAAGTCATAAGGACCTCAGCACCGTCGTCAGTGGACGGTCACGGTCGCGCACAGCTTTGGACAAATACAAACAGTTGTCGACGGAAAAAACGACTAAACCTTAATCCCCAGACTCCCAGAGCGTTGAACGAGAACCCTTCGCTACGGATTCAGGATCAAGTTTAAGTATGAGTCGCGTAAGACAAGACAATGTTGACCTAAGATCAAAAGCAGATACTAGAACAGGATAGTCTTAGGGCATCTTGTCGCGTACCCCGGAACAGTCCATCGAACGGCCCCCACCCGCAGAACAAACTCAAAACTTGAAGAGAAAAGGGCCATTGCTACCGCACATGAAACTCGTGACACTGTCAATGCGCATCTCAAACAACCGTGTGCTCTGTCAATGCATGTGTTGGCCGCCTGCTTGCCCCTGTCCCTTTTGGGTTTTGAGACTTCCACATCCTTGGCTCTCAAGTCCATTGCTGCGAAATAAACATATGTATGACTCATATGACACCTTGCGGTTTGGGTTTGGGATTTTTCCCCACATCTTTGTGTGGGGTTCTTGTTTTTGATTCTGTATCCCGGGTGCCTCCTCCTCCTCCCGCCTCCTCCCGCACACACACTCACATACAATAACTTCACACACACACACAAACTTAACATACAATAACTTCACACACACAAATTCACATACAAATTTCACACACACAAACTTAACATACAATAATTTCACACACACACACAAATTCACATACAATAACTTCACATACACAAACTTAACACACAAACTCACATACCATAACTTCACACACACACACACAAACTTAACACACAAACTTAACATACAATAACTTCACACACACACAAACGTAACACACAAACTTGACATACAATAACTTCACATCCACCTTCGGTTCACGTGACACGCGTGGTACAATCTCACATCTACCATCGTTTTGCATGGCAGGCGTGGCACTGATGGCACTGGGTGGCGCGCTTGGTCTGATTTGGTCGCCCGTGACGCCGCGGCACTTTGCGTGGCAGGCGTGGCACAAACTCACATCTGCAGTCGTTTTGCGTGGCAGGCGTGGCACAAACTCACATCTACAGTCGTTTTGCGTGGCAGGCGTGGCACTGATGGCACTGGGTGGCGCGCTTGGTCTGATTTGGTCGCCCGTGACGCCGCGGCACTTTGCGTGGCAGGCGTGGCACAAACTCACATCTACAGTCGCTTTGCGTGGCAGGCGTGGCACAAACTCACATCTACCATCGTTTTGCGTGGCAGGCGTGCCACTGATGGCACTGGGTGGCGCGCTTGGTCTGATTTGGTCGCCTGTGACGCCGCGGCACTTTGCGTGGCAGGCGTGGCACAAACTCACATCTACAGTCGTTTTGCGTGGCAGGCGTGGCACAAACTCACATCTACCATCGTTTTGCGTGGCAGGCGTGGCACTGATGGCACTGGGTGGCGCGCTTGGTCTGATTTGGTCGCCTGTGACGCCGCGGCACTTTGCGTGGCAGGCGTGGCACAAACTCACATCTACAGTCGTTTTGCGTTGCAGGCGTGGCACAAACTCACATCTACAGTCGTTTTGCGTGGCAGGTGTGGCGCTGATGGCACTGGGTGGCGCGCTTGGTCTGATTTGGTCGCCCGTGACGCCGCGGCACTTTGCGTGGCAGGCGTGGCACAAACTCACATCTACAGTCGTTTTGTGTGGCAGGCGTGGCACAGACTCACATCTACAGTCGTTTTGCGTGGCAGGCGTGGCACTGATGGCACTGGGTGGCGCGCTTGGTCTGATTTGGTCGCCCGTGACGCCGCGGCACTTTGCGTGGCAGGCGTGGCACAAACTCACATCTACCATCGTTTTGCGTGGCAGGCGTGGCACTGATGGCACTGGGTGGCGCGCTTGGTCTGATTTGGTCGCCCGTGACGCCGCGGCACTTTGCGTGGCAGGCGTGGCACAAACTCACATCTACAGTCGTTTTGCGTGGCAGGCGTGGCACAAACTCACATCTACCATCGTTTTGCGTGGCAGGCGTGGCACTGATGGCACTGGGTGGCGCGCTTGGTCTGATTTGGTCGCCTGTGACGCCGCGGCACTTTGCGTGGCAGGCGTGGCACAAACTCACATCTACAGTCGTTTTGCGTTGCAGGCGTGGCACAAACTCACATCTACAGTCGTTTTGCGTGGCAGGTGTGGCACAAACTCACATCTACCATCGTTTCAGTCAAGTTCTTGCATTGCGCAAGTTATCACCTCATCATCCGGTGATGTTTGCTGCTTGTGTCGCTCCGGCATACCGAATCAATGACATAGTCAGTCAAGTTCGATTTCAAGTTCGATTTTTGTTCGATTTTTTGTGAAGCCTAGCACAGTCACAGGCGCGGCTGTCACGTAGCACATCTCGTTGCACCACATGGGGCACAGAAGATCATGGAACACCTCATTTAGACCATTCCAGGTCCGCAGTGCTGCCGCATGCAGAGCAGATGACATTGCAGCGCTGGCAAAAAAAATGTCTGCACTGTCGCGCACTCACGTCACTTTCACACACACACACCATCTTTCACACGCAACTTTGTCACACACATACACATACATACATACATACATACCTACCTACCTACCTACCTACCTACCTACCTACCTACCTACCTACCTACGCCTACCTACCTACCTACGTACATACATACATACATACATACCTACATACCTACATACCTACATACCTACATACCTACATACCTACATACCTACCTACCTACAAACCTACAAACCTACAAACCTACATACCTACATACCTACATACCTACATACCTACATACCTACATACCTACATACCTACATACTCATACCTACATACCTACATACCTACGTACCTACATACCTACATACGTACATACGTACATACGTACATATGTACATACGTACATGCATACTATCTTTTCACGTACCTTCTTGCTTTGTCACACACCATCTTTCACATTCCACTTTGTCACACACACAACTGTTTTAACTTTTCGATCCTTCACCACCTCCTTTCCCTTTCCTTCCTTCCCCGACCCCGCTACAACCTTTGATGCTCATTATTGGAAGAAGTTGACTTGTGGGGTTATCCGGTCCTTTAATTTGAAATCTGCCCTCCGCAAGCTTGGGCCGCGACAACCCAAGTATCTGGTAGGTTGTGGGATGCTGCTTCCAGCAAGGGCTCCTGCCGAAGAACCCACCAAGACGGCCAATACTGGACATCGAAATTCTTTCACTATGGCCGGCAAGCGACCACGCGGATTGATGTAAGCCAGGCACCAACGACATGGAAAGGCGTACCACCTACACTTTCCACCCTAGAAACTTGTTCCCCGTTTGTGATCCTACTCCTTGTAATTTAATCTCTTTTGTACGTAGCGTCTCTGCTGCGCACTCCTCAGGCGTCTCTGACGGGGCCAGGAAATTCGGCTTGGCCCACTCCTTACAACCAACTGGATCAACTGGATCAACTGTACACGAAGACCGGCTGAGACCCGGACGTATTGGGGTCCGCTCACACAAGGCGGCACGGTCTCATCCGAGCCTTGCGGTACTGACGGGGCTTCTGCTGCATCACTGAGGTCCATAGGCGCAACCATAGGCAGGTCCATAGGCGCATCCATAGGCGCTTCCATGGGCGCGTCCATAGGTGGCTCCATAGGCGCATCCATAGGCAGGTCCATAGGCGGGTCCATAGGCGCATCCATAGGCACGTCCATAGGTGCCTGACATTTGCCGGGTCATGTGTCACCCAGAGTCCATAATCTCAAGGTGATAAAAATAGGCTGTGTTGTGTTCCATCTTGAGAACCTGGAAGGGGCTTTAGCACACTATAATACAAAAAAAATGTCTCCGGTTCCCACTCTCCAAGCCAATGAAGCCGACTGCTGACCTCTTGCACATCGTCCTGTCACCAAATGTCAGAGCGCAGCTTTCACTAAGGGATGTTTGAAATGAATTGAAACCAGATCTAGATGTGTTCCCCGTCGATCGTTCAACACACAATCGTGCCATCATGGAGTGTATGCTGTATGCTCCCACCTGCGGCAAGTCCGTGTGCTCAGCCTGAGATTCATCTAGAATCACGGAGCAACTTGAAAGCATCACATTTCACAATATTTCACCATGGGATGTATTCTACTATGCTTGGATGTCCTTGGATGCTTGACTGGCTCAAGTCTGGGTGTTCAAAGAACGGCAGGCTCAATTGAGGAAGCGAGCATGATCTTTTTGGACAAGGCAGCCAGCAAAATGATGGCATTGATGGAATCGTTTTTTTCATGTCTCCATGAAAAGTGGGCAATGGCATGCTGACCACGACATCAAATCCATACAAATTCTCGAATCCATTGAAATTCTCCAGAGACCCATCAAAATCCATTTTAGAAAAACCGTAGAAATTCTCGAGAAACCCGTTGAACTCCACAGAAATCTGTAGAAATTCACCAGAAACCCATAGAAATCCACAGAAATCTCTAGAATCCATTTAAAAAAGAAACCCATAAAAATCCATGTAAATTTTCAGAAACACATAGAAATCCATAGGCTCCATAGATATCCAATATCAACTTCACAGAACCGTGCGCCCTGCCTCCATTTCAGATGTATCAGGCGCAGGGGCCGATTTCGGCGTGTCAGCCGCCACGGTGTCGGATGTTTCCGCCTTCTTGGAGGATTCCTGTGCACAACGGGTGGTGGGAACAAGTGATTTGTAGGGGATCATTAGCCTATAGAAATCTATACAATACAAGTCAACCCAAAAAATCAAAAAGGGTTCAAAAGGTGTAATTACTCGGGCTACAGAATAGAAGTTCGTGCAGCCTCCGAACCACTCGGTACCAAATAGCAACCAACCATCATGATGACTACGTCCCCAAGTGCCATCGAACCCTTTACCAAATCGTTGATCACAACATATCACGACAAGCACATGCTTGAGGTGATTTGTCCACATGAAATGTTAAAAATCGCGAAGATGCGATTTTTGGACTTCACTCGCCTGGATTCCCTGAAAAAAACCGTCAATTTTCGTTTGATGTGCGCCATTTTTTGGGAAACAACGAGTTTCGGGGACACCCCGCATTTTTTGGAATAGGTTGTTCCAGTGGTCCAGGGGATCGAGCTGTTGAGATTATAAAAAGCAACGTTTATTCGTGGTTTTGCCATGGTTTATCAGCATTTGTCACGTGTTTCCGTGCTTCTTTCGTTTGTCGCGTGCTTGTCATGCATTGCCATCGTTTGTCAAAGTTTGTGTTAATCAATAATCTAGCAGCTAGCAAATTATGGAAATTAGTTTAGGTGGCATGGGCCCTCCGCAAAAATAAAAAACCAAACAGGGCAAACATCCAAAACCCGCTCTACAATTTTTTCCAAATTTGGAAACACACGCCAAAAAGGCCCTCTGCAAAGTACATCAAATTTCAAAAACAAAAGTGTAAAGTGATTGTTCTTTCAGTCATTTTCCTGACCGCCTGACGAATTTCCATTTACAACATACAGTATCTGGATGTATTGGTAGCGAAAGTTGGGGGTACGCATTGGAAACGGCAATGACCCCAGGGGTAATTATTTCCACCTCTTTATTTTGCTGTCCGATGCTCTGCCTTCTCATCGACTTCTCTCCCGTTGTCTCGTTTTGTCTCCCTTCTCGTCTCCCCTCATCGTTAAGCGAATGTCAGGGTCCGTGTTCAAAGAGTGGGAAGCCATTTAGGAGCTATAGTTTCTTGTGGTTAGGCACGACCAGCTGCAGGCCGCCAGATGCGATCGGAGCTATATTTCTTGTGGATTCAGAAAGCGGCGTTAGGCACGATCAGCTGCAGGCCGACGGCGCCATCCGTCCTTCACTGGCATGGTGTTTCAGTGTGGTGGAAGTGTCCGTTTTTGGAAGCCTGGGAAGTCAAGCCCTTGTGGGTTCAGAAAGCGACGTTAGGCACGACCAGCTGCAGGCCGCAGACGCCATCCATCGTTCACTGCTGTTTCAGTGTGGCGGAGGGGTGCCTTTTTGGAAGCCTGGGACATCATTTTGGAGCTAGCTTGTTGTGGATTCAGAAAGCAAAGTTAGGCATGATCAGCAACCGGCCGAAGGCGCCACCCATCCTTCACAGGCATATAGGCCAAATTCATGTCCCGCACGGAGCTATTGGGCTTCAGGGCTTGAAAGGAACACAATACATCAACGATGAATCAACAACTCCAAGAAGAAAAGAAATAAAGAAACTGGGCTCACCCTTGATTACAAAAAGAAAAGCATGGCTGGACCATCACCAACAACGAAACTGAAATCAAGCCAGCTACATCTACACAGAGAAAGCATCATCATAGTTGTGATACCCTTGCTGTAGATTGATTGCACCAGACCCAAGCTTCCCCAACCAGGAGGCGGCGACAGGGGGCGTAGGCGTAGCCTTTTAATCTGCCTTTTAATGTGGCCACCGGCCGTGTGCCCCAGAACCGTTGAATCGTTTCGGCCCAAGAGGGCCCCAAGTTGGCCCACGACGGCCTCAACAAGCCTCAACATTAGCCATCTTCGCATGGAAGTGGAAAGTGGCAGAAAAAATCACGTTTCGGGCCTTGGCCTGGGGCCAACATCTCTAACACGCAGCACGGCCGCAACATGCCGCCAACATGCCTCCAACATACAAGACGCCCACAACTTGGTCCCAACATCGCCTCCACGTAGCTCAACATGGCCCCAACATGACGGCAACATAGCCCCAACATGCCTCCAAGATGGCCCAAGATGACCCCAACATGGCCGCAACATGCCCCCAAGATGGCCAAGCTGGCCCTCAACGTGGCCAAACCCCTACCCCCCTCCGGTGGCCGGCTGTCAGACGTAAGCCTTAAAATCCGATGCCCTCGCCGTTGTAGGTGACTCTGCAAGTCGCTGCAGCATTGCAGATCCAGCTGCAGCTTTTGCCGCCGACCCTCCCCAAAAATCCTTCACTCTCGTGTTGTTTTAATGTTTTTGGGCGGTGAAAATTCCGCGTAACATGGGTAAAAACGGGGCTTGCCGCGCGAAGAGCAAGTTTGGACATTTATTTTGCGCACTCCAAAGGCCAAACACTGTAATTGACAATGGTGGTGCCTTTGGCATGGAAGAAGTACTTCTTGCAACGTGTGAAAACAACGTAAATACTGGTGTTTTGCTAGGTGCTGTCTAAAAAACAGTGTATATAAAATACCATTGCTTTTGCTATCAGGAGCACAAAACGTCGTAAATACCCTGGCGTTTGGCTTCTGAGACGCCCAAAAAATCGGAATTTATTGCTCTGACTTTCTCGAAGAAACCGCTGGAACACGGCCTGCTTCGCGATTTTGGCTCCTAAACCAAAGAAAAAAACTGTGTAGTCAGATGGTTGCAGGATGCACAGAAGCAACACCACCAATCACACTACCACCACCACAACAACAACAACAAACAACAACAACCAACAACAACCAACAACAACCAGCAACAACCAACAACAACCAACAACAACCAACAACAACCAACAACAACCAACAACAACCAACAACAACCAACAACAACCAACAACAACCAACAACAACCACCAACAACCACAACCACAACCACCACAACAACAACAACAGAGCAAGCGGGCGACATTCTGGGCAACACGAACAACCCTTGGGACATCACCGGTGTGCGAGGCCCTACAATATTCCAGGGTATATGTCAGAAAATGAGTCCTTGACATGTGTCAGGATATCTGTCAGAAAACATGCGGGGGACATATGTCAGAATACATTTCAGCATATGTGTCAGACTGTATATCAGCATGGTTTGTTCCCGGTGGGGATCGCAAGGTGAATGGCAATTTGCTATTCAGGTATCTTTTGTTAGCTTACTCCCCGAAAACTATCATATTTTACAAAATTGCGCTCCATGTTGGCTCACCCATGTTAAAATTCATGACCGGGAAATGTGCACGGCAGGTGCCATGTTGGTGCACATCAGGCCCGGTGAACTTGGTCGTTTTGGGCACTTTTCATACCAACATAGAACCCCACATGTTGCCGCTGAGGGCGAATCCAAAACTTCCGTGTTAGCCATCGCTGTTTTCCAATGGAGCTTGACACGGAGATGTCAATGGATCTGAGGATCCAAGTATTGCTTTACAGCTGCTAAAGGAAAAAATTATCCATGTGAAGTTTTTGGGTTGAATCTGGAGCGGTGGCCCGTTTGCATACCATAGAATCCCATGAGCCATAGGAACCCGAAAACTAACATAGCACCTGAATGGAAGTCTCAGCAGGGGAGCAGGACAGCAGAAAAAAAAAACAAAGTCGGGATTTGAATGGATTTGGGGATCCTAAGTTTTTCCTTTGCTTTGTAAACGAAAAAATGTGTCCTTTGAACGTTTGTGGGTTGAATCTGGACTGGTGGCCCTATTTTGTACAAGGCATTCAGCTGTTTCAAGGTGCCGTTTAAAGTTTGGGCGCAAACTCGGTGCCATGCTAGGGCGTGAACAATGGGGTAAATGCCAGCGTTTACACTGTGTTCCTCCGTGTTGTTCCAGTTGTGCTACCCCGTGACGGTTTACTTTGGAAAGTTGCGCGACGAACACGGAACCCAACAATATCGGAAAACAAGCGCCAACACGACCTTTTCTTGGAGGCGTTTTTGTTCCGTTCTTTCCCAGCCACTGACCTGGAACCAACACGGAACCCAAAATGCCCCCCAAGGGGGGCCCTCATAGATAGTTTAAATCATGTTAGGGGAATGTTTGGTGCAGGTTAGGTCCATGTCAAATCATAAGATCTTCCTCCACCTTGCTGTTTCTCACCTCGTCTTGTCTCCTGCCATGCTACCCTGGGTCAGTCTGCTTCACAAATGACCGAACACCTTAAAAAAATGATGAACAGGGAACCCAACCTATATACAAAAAAAACATGTGTACAACTTTTTGCCATTTGGGCCTGACAAAAATAAAGCAAAGGCGCAGGTTGGGTCAGAATCCAGTCACTTATATTTTTAGAAGCGCTTCAGCATTTAGACAATATATACGCTTGATCATGTTCGATGCGTGTCGTCTGGACACAGCATTTATGCCCCGTTCCTTGTGCTTCCCTGTTGTGTTTCTCTTCGTTTGTGCTTCGCAAGATGCGGGGCCCATTCCTTATCGGACCCTAAACCCCGCTCTAAATCGCTTAAAAACATAAGATTCGAAACTTTTACATCCCCGTTAGCTGTCTGTTCTCCGTGAGCCGTCGCTTCCTGCAAGTTGCCTGCAAGGCTTCACCCCCGAACATAACCCCTCCGTTGGCTGTCCGTTCTCCGTGAGCCGCAACGCTTCACCCCCGGACACAACCCCTCCGTTGGCTCTCCGTTCTCCGTGAGCCGTCGCTTGCTGCAAGCCTTCGCCCCCGGACACAACCCTTCCGTTGGCTGTCCGTTCTCCGTGAGCGGTCGCTTGCCGCAAGGCTTCGCCCCCGGACACAACCCCTCCGTTGGCTCTCCGTTCTCCGTGAGCGGTCGCTTGCTGCAAGGCTTTGCCCCCGGACACCACCCCTCCGTTGGCTGTCCGTTCTCCGTGAGCCGTCGCTTGCCGCAAAGCTTCGCCCCCTAACACACCCCCTCTGTTGGCTGTCCGTTCTCCACGAGCCGTCGCTTGCAGTTTTAGATCGATTTTATTTAACAAGTTGCATGATCCTCGGGAACAAAATCGACTCCACACATCTCCACACCGTATACCGTGGTGCCATGTTAGGTGCCCTCAGGGAATCTCAGGAACGTTGGAATTCGGGAGTGTAAACGCTACAAAAAAGACAATGTAAATGTCAATGTTTCTGAAACGGGGTATGCACATGCCCGTGTTTTTGAAAGGTCAGCGGAAGTGATTTCTGCTCTTTGAATTTGAAACCTATCTAATGGTGTCTAGGCTTTTTTTCCAACTACTGAGGGACTAGAATGGTAGCCCCCTAGGGCTTCGACCCCTATTAATTCAGACCCACCCCATAGGCGATGGTATTAAGATCTTAGACCCTTGAAAGTGGCAACATTTTGTTGACTATGACTTTGATCGATAATCGTTTTATCAAGATCGAGCATACAGCCCGAGTGCCGTAAAAGAATCCGATGGTCCCTTGCCAGTAGTTGCGCGTTTTTGATATTTGTTGGAAAAAACAAAACTGCATACAGGGTAAGACATGTGGTATTGACAGCATTTCTTGAATGCAAGTGCTGAAAAATGCTCAAAAAAACAGCGTTTTTCACCTAACATCTTGCCTAAGAGGCTAAGAGCCTAAGAGCCCTTCTCCAAACGGCATCGCTGGCGCTAAGCGTCTTGCGCACTGACCATTGGTACCGCACATGAAACTCAGGTAGCTTACTCTACCTTGAGTAAACAAAAAAAGGTAGTTACTCTCAATGCACATCTTCGGCCATCATGCACTTTGTCAATCCATGTCGCCTTCTTGCACCTTTCCCTTTTGGGCTTCGGAGATCCCACATCCTCGACTCAATCTAATTGCTGCTCAAAACAAATTTGGTGCCTTGCTCTTTGGGAGATTTGCATCTGCCCTCCGCGAGCTTGGGCCGCGACAACCCAAGTATCTGGTAGGTTGTGGGATGCTGCTTCGAGCACGGGCTCCTGAAACCACCAAAACGGCCAAGACTGGACATGGAAATTCGTTCACTATGGACGGCAAGCAATCAAACGGGTTGATGAAAGCCAGGGCGCCAAAGATCCTACTCCTTGTAACTTAATCTCCTTTATACATTGCATCTCTGTTTGCGCACTCCTGCGGCATCTCTGACGGTGCCAGGAAATTCTGAGACTTGGCCCGAACCTCACCAGCAACAAAGAGCAACTACAACAGCAGGTTTGTTTAAAAGCGGCTTAGCATGACTTTGCATGACTTGGCATGACTTGGCATTCAACTGTATTCTGAGTACACCAACCAGGGCCAGCTGAGAACAAAACGTATTGGGGTCTGCTGACACAGGAAGGGACGTCCTTGCAGCCTTGAGGAACTCCATCGCCCTGCTCTGCAGCATCACTCTCCTTGTCACAAAGGAATGATCGAAACAAATGCCACAAACAATCAACAGCTCTCCTTGAATACATGAACTGTACTTCCAGTATATGTCCACTATAGTTCCAGTACTGTCTTTACATTGAAACTTACATCTGAGGTGGAGATTTTCCCATGGCAAGCAGGTGACCCGAGCTGCGTGCACATTTCAAGTTCCCTAGGTGGTCGAGGATGTACGTGCCAGGGAAATAGACTCGGTAAGTGTCCAGAGCGAATGGAAGCTTCACCTGCAGTGTTTCCCCATCACCCTGCTTGGCAACTTAGAACATCTGCACAAATATTATCAAATATTCGTCCCTGCACTGTCACATAAATAAAGACAGAAAGACAAGACAGCTAGATAGCTAGATAACTAGATAGCTAGATAGCTAGATAGCTAGAGCTGGATAGCTAGATAGCTAGATAGCTAGCTAGATAGCTCAATAGCTAGATAGCTAGATAGCTAGGTAGCTAGGTAGCTAGGTAGCTAGGTAGGTAGGCAGGTAGCTAGCTAGATAGCTAGATACATAGATAGATAGACAGGTAGATAGATAGATAGATAGATGCGTCTATATCATGTCTATAAATAATTATGTATATATATATATGTATACACAAGTATATATATATATAATCTATTTAGTAATCTGCTTAAATTAAAAGCATGTATTGCGTCATATTGCGTCCATATTCACATTATGAAATGAGCGGCGTGCACAGCTCGCTGCATAGCTGCCTTCGTGGCATTGGGATTTGGTGCTCCGGATTTTCTTGTCACACCGCCTTTGTGCACCTCCCAGTAGACCTCGAAAAGACAGATCTGGACAGTCAACAAACATCCCAACTTCCTTTCATAATAATATCGTAAGGACAAATATTGAATCGTGCTGTGTGAGTTTATATAAAATGGATCTGATTGCGATCCATTGGGGATCTCTTCAAGGCCCCTTGACAGTCTTTCAATGTCTGGCGTCAACTGCAAGAAACTTGAATGAGAAACCAAGCCGCTCGCCTCAAATGCACTGGGTCCGGGTAATTTCACTGAGAGTCGGCCCTCAGAAACTGTAAACTTCATGACCTGTCCAGTTCATTCAGTGCTTTCACTTCGCAGCTCATCCTGCAATTCACTAGCCATAAAAAGAGACAATACGACTGCGATTGAAAACCTCTGCCCCTCTATTTTTCCTCTGCTTGCCTCACTGAGAGAAATGCTGCTGCCGTGCTGTTGCCGGGCGAATTAGGCTGAGTTAAATAGGGCTGGAGCCTCGCCCAGAGCCCTTCGACTCAAATTTCATGGGAGCACATGGGAGCCCTTCGTCCAGTCTCAATGTTTCCAAAGATTTTGAATGCTGGAATTTTTTCAACAACAGCATGATGTGATTGGAAAGCTCATTGTGGTGCCATGACCTGAGAGTCTGCAGAGTCCCAGTCGGTCTTGCAGCGCCAACTGTGCCGAATTTCTGCTGAATTAGGGTGCAAATTTCTGTGACATTTCAGGGAGCTAACCTGCTACCCTCGACCACATCATCCCACATCTTAAGCGTCCATCTCTGTGAGCTGCTTCATGGGCAGATGAGGCTCTGCCTTGCGTGGATCTGTGATTCAAAATAAACCAAAGACAGAAAAAGGAAGTCAACAGATAAGACAAGATAAAATATGATATAAGTGTAGACTGGTATAGTATAGATAGATCAGATAATATAGATAAGTTAAGTATAGACAAGCATACAAAAGCATAGACAAGTATAGATGTAAGTTAAGCAAATGACAGAGTAAAGAAGCAAACCGTACCTACAGCCGCTAAGGCTGGAACTGGTGTCTGCACATTACCATCACCTCTGCCACCACCGACCGCAAAGTCTGCGCTGAACTTGAAGTATTTGGGTAGCATGCACATAAACCTCAGCAGGATGCAAGTGTGTCGTTATTCGATGATTGATTGGACACTCTCCTCATCAAATGAATTCGGACGCGCACCATAGATCCCATGGGCTCCTTGTGCTACTCCCCTAGAAACCCCTACCTCGCTTCTGCCGCCAGAATTTCAGTTTCCGCATTGTCTCCTAGCTTCCCGGAGCAATTCGGACGCCCTTCCACCGTCTCTGCGAGCAGCGCGGCATTTTTTCCAACAGCGTTGATTAATCACATCAGTGTACAGTTGCCGGCACAGCACTGACGTTCAGTTGATCTTGGGATTCCACGTAACCAGGCAGTAAATGGCTGCCTGTGTACCGGCCTGTTCCGTTCCGCCAAGCAACCCATGTGTGCTGCAGCAAATGTTTGGAGCTACCCGGTGGCCGTAAATCTGTCCATCTGGAAAAAGAGAGCACCTGGGAAGTTGCATGCTGAATGAAAGTGAGAGAGTGAAGAGAGTGGAGAAAATCCGAGAAGATAAAACACTGTCGTGAAAGCAAAACTCTCTCCGTGGCACTTCTTGTAGCAAAGTCCGCCAAACATCTCTTCGTCCAAAAGACAGGCGCCCTGGACAATGCCGAACACGCAAAGACACTTGAAATCTATAATATATGTTTGTTTATAGCTATGTATATATATATACCTAGCGCATCAAGAACCCACAAATTTGTAGGTATTTTTTCCAAAAAAACGGTTTTTTCTTCAGTTATGAAAAATACCTGTTTTTTTACAGAAAATATTGGTTTTTTCTGTACTAGGGAAAAAAAACTACTTTTTCTCACACTTGGTGTCATGACATCTCATGATTCCTTCCCCTAGACGATTCAAACCCCTTTATTGATACCAGCCTTGGATCTATCCCTCTCAGTACCCTTCATGTTGATTATACTTCCACCCCGCTGGCTTTGGCTGGCAGTTCTCACAAGAAAGGGCCCGATGCTCTTGGAACATGTCGGACAACATTAAGTGTGATCACAGTCAATCTGGAGTCGTTGGATGATTTTTCCCAAGAAGCATAAATTGAAACATGGCTGTATTTTTTCATTGGGAAAAAATGATTCTGGATTGCCAAAGTCCAACAAACAGCCGAAGAAAAGTATCGAAAAAATTAACAAAATCATGAAAAATTAATCGGCATTTTCAGTCTTTAATCATTTCGGATGACAATTTTAGGGTCTGTAACCAAAAAAATGCCAAAAACCCATATTTAAGCCGTACTAAGCCGTACTAAACTTACTAAACCTATATTTAACCCGTACTAAACCCATATTCTGATATAGTAAAAAAAAAGTTTTTTTGGAACCCATATTTAAACCGTATTAATATTAAACCCATATTTAACCCATACTAACCCGTGCTCAAAATATGGATTTTTGGCCTCTGCGAATTGATGGCGCGATGTCGAGTTTTAAGGCTCCGCTTGTGGTTTTGCAAGATCGAACCGGTAGTTGCCCGATCTAGACAAAAAGAAAACATCCAAGATTACCGGAGCTATTGTCAATTTACTGGGTTCATATTTGGAAAGCTGACTTTTGAAATGCCATGCATATCCATTGTGACTTTTTGACTACCTCCAGTCCCGCTGAAGGGAAAGTTCGCAGCATAGGAGGCAACTGCAGCCGGTGGAGAATGCGCGCATCGTGTCTGATAACGCTTGCTTCGGTTTCCATCGCGCGTTCTGTCTGACAGATTTCACAAGTTGTCAGTATGAAATTGCTACATGTAATGAGGAGAAATTTGATACAGGTCCACCCGATTTGGACAAATTTGTGCAAATCCAACAAAAACCAAGATATGGGTTCTTTACAAAAACCCGGTTTTTCTCGAAAAAACTAGTTTTTTTCACTGGTCCTACAATTTCTTGGGTCTTTGAAGCTCCTGGTATAATATATATATATATTATTTAGATACATACATACATATATACATATATATATATACATATATATATATACACGTATATTAATATATATATATATATATACATATACGTATATTAATAATTATTAATATAAAATAATATAAATATATGCCAGGTTCAAAATTGTGAGAGCTTGAGGTGACCATCGTGACAAGGCTGTGTGGCCTCAAAGCTGGGACAACCGTCACCTTCTGCGTCTCCTGGAACACATGGGACCGGCTGAGAGCAGTACAGCAGACCAACTGTCTACAACTGAGGGTTTCCTAAAATGGAGGTACCCCAAAATGGATGGTTTATAGTGGAAATCCCTATTAAAATGGATGACTTGGGGGCACCCCCATTTCAGGAAACCTCCAACTGTCATTCAACTGTCTACAACCGTAAAACCTGCAAGACGAGTATTGTAGTGATTGTCCTGATTACACATTTCATGAAGCATATCAGCATATCCTATGCTGTACTCAATATGCTCAACACTCCTGCGATGTCAAAACCAGAGCAAAAGCCGACATGGATCCTTAATTCACAGGGTTCTGTAAACTACTTTCAAAATCAAAGGCCGTTTCTTCCGTCCATGCCTGTGCGCGTGTTTGGCACTTCTCCCGTCAGGGGACACATGTGTCGGAAGTTGTCTGCAAGCACATTTCTGCATCCAAGCATCTTCGAATTGAAGAAACTACCTTAGCGTCTAGCATGTGACAAGAAAATCTCTCAAGAATAGCCGCAGCTTGCTGCTTGATCTCATGTGTTTAGTTTTCACGATCAGAAATGTTCACTTGCCACTGAATCACCTCTGCAACCGATGACATTTGGACATATTTAAGGACCAGGTTGCAGGGTTCCGCAGCGCAGCAGCTGAATGCACTGGTGCGGATCGGGTAATATCCACCTGTTAGGTCAGCACACCTCAAGTCGCAGGTGGTCCAACGGCCATGATGGATGTCCAACGGCCATGTGCAGAACATTGCAGAACATGCCATCAAAATCCACCAAGCATATCAAACGTTATCAACGTGGACAAATGACATTTCAGTATATTTCAGTATCAAAATCAAAGGCTCTCTGCAGCAAGGATGCTTTTTGTAGCAAGTGCCATCAGACTCCTCCTCATCACCTTAAGTGGCTCGATGCAAAATGTTCCGACCAATGTTCCTACAAGTGTCTGGAGTGCAACTTTGGCCGCATTCAGCACAAATGATGAACAGCGTGTCAGCCTGCGTGGATGCTCATGTTTATTGACCGACTTCTTTCTGCAGCTGTCTTAAGGCAAAATGTGCAAAATAGATCAAAATAGCTAAAATGTAAACAAGCCTAATTATTAATTGTTTCTCCGGCTGCAATTTTGATGCAACATCAAGACCTTGCCGACAATACTATGTGTCACAAAGACATGAAAAGCGCCTACCGAATAATCGTCCCTGTGTCGTTGGGCCATCTTGACAACAAAATCTCAGCCTTTTCACAGAATTTGAAGATGGCCCAAGTATGGCAAGGGTAGAGCCAGGGCACTTGGGCATGTGTTTCCATCCTTCAAAGCCTCGTGAGGGGCCAATGGACTGCTGACAGCTGCGGGCTTCGCAGCGTTCGCTGTGGTCATGGGAGATGCCCTTGGTGCATGCGTAACCTCGGTTTTTAAGGAACCAGCTGTCATCTGATTTCATCTGATTTCATCTACATCCAGTGATTTGGGGTATAACATCCAGAACTTTAGCTTCCCTTCTTTTCAAAGTTCATCAAATCATCACCCCTTGGCAAAGGGTGCCTTACCTGAAGTCCAAGCAACTGGGCTACCAACTTTGCTCAGCATCTTGCTGATGCTTTCCAAGGACTTGTGTTCCTCGCTGTCGGGATCGAGCTTTCCAGCCTCATCCTTGAACTCAGACGCAATTTGCTCCAGTGCGCTTTTTCCCGAAGTCCCGAAGATGATGATTTTGCTGGTTTCACTTGGAGCAATGGTAGCAATAGCCATTGGTGCAGCAGTTGGTGCAGCTGTTAGCACGGGCACTGCTGGTTGAGTAGTTCCAACAACGCTATGAGCAACGGTGCTTGCCGGTTCTGTTGCCACGGTGGTGGTAGCAACCGTGGTTGCAGCGCTCGTGCTGGTGCTTGTGCTCTGTGTGCTGGCGATGGCTGTCTGGTGGCGTTCTGCCTCAAATTGTTTGAATGCCTTGTTGCCCAAGACCTCCTTCCAGACTGGGTCTTCCATGGACTCCATCTGAACTGTGTCAGAAACTCCGGAGTTGGTCAAGCTGGTCAAGCTCGTGGGTCGCGTCAATGCAAACACTGTCATCATGAGTAATCCCAGCACGAAGGCAGCGGCAGCACACTGCCATCCGCATTTACGGCCCTCATGGGAATTCTCTCTTTCGCGCGGCGAACCGCCCAACATACACTCCAAGTCGGACTCTGGCACCTGAACTGCCTGCCCCTGAAGGAGATACATGGCTGTAGAGGGTGCTCAGCTTGCACGACACAGCAAAAGGCACTTCTGTTCTTGAACCAAAATGGAGGGTGCAGTGAAACAAGCAAGGGAGTAGCAAAAGCGCAAGGCGAAACTTCTCCAAATGCGTCATGCAGATTCTGCGGTCATAAGAATCATGTTGCATCACCTGTCGAGGGGGCCTGGGACACACCGCCATCACCATCAACCGGAGCCCTGGGCGATCAATGAATTTCTGCCAGCGGTTGGAGCATGTGGCAGCCCATGGTTTCACATGGCAGTGACACGTCAGTTCTGGGATGTTTTGGAACTGCACTTTTGGAGTAAGGTCCACACAAAAGCAGCTCTCCTGCCCACATTTATAGACCCCAATTGCCCAAAGTGGTGATTCACATCACTACAATGCACAATTGAAGGGTGACGTGCTTTCGAAGATGTGCAGGCCCCGTGTCAACAGTTCACACACAGGTGCTCCAGCTGGGAATGGCCAAGCAGAAGTAGGCCCAGTACCCAAGCACACCTGAAACACGGATCTAGATCAAGAAAATTGCGCTCTGTTGAACTAGCTGCAAGATCGACGAAAATCTCTCGCCACTTGTGCAACTTCAGGCAAGTTTCTCCGGCACAAAGGGATGAGTGAAAGCACGGAGCAGGAAACAGTGGACCAAAGAGACTTGTGTTGCTTCTAGCCCAGGTGGATGCTTGTACTTGAGTGTTTTTGTCAATTTGGTTTCATTTGAACAAATGATCATAGGTGGCCATGCCATGCGGAACAATTCTCCAATTTTGGGGGGTGTATAGCTATCAATTCAAACGATTCCCCTTGTCACTGCAAAATTCTCCAAGCCACTGTCACTCCGCCCTCCAGAAGGGATTCACGTACAAGGACCTGGAACAGAACGACCGAGGGCATCATTGCTGATGATCAACTACAAGCTGACTCAGCAAATTTGCAGGAATTCAATCTCAGCAGTGTTTTGAGTGCTTTGAGTATCTTCATTGTTTTGATTCTTCGCTTTCGATTGGACTTTCGGCTCATGGCACCTGCACAGTCCTGCTCGGAAGAAACATTTCGGCAGAGTGGTACCTGGAGCACAGCCCGGGCAGGCACAGCCCGGCATCGCAGCTGGTGCCCCTGCCTCGAGTCCCATCCATCCAAAGGTGGAAAAGATGTCTCATGAGCTGAGGCAAGTCGATCCTGACCTCGATGAAAGCACTTTCCATGTCGATCTGACTTCAAAATTTCACACCCCCAAAGCCCACTTCCAAGGCAGACCCAATTTGTTGCGAACTCAATGGCTGTCGCTGATTTTTTTGAATGCCCTCAGATCATTTCAGATGCAGGCCGCCGAAACAAGGTTCGTCTGAATCAAGCCTTGGCCCAGCATGAGTCAATTCATGACCCGTCCTGTGAAGTGTCAAGACAAAAAGGTGACGCACTGCCTTAAAATGCGTTAAATGTTTTGATAATATTCAAATTACTTTCTTCGAGTGATCCCCACCAAGTGACATGTTTTCGACATATTTTCTGTCACCCTATCTGTCATTCACATTTTATCTCACATATTCTCTGACATTCTTTTTTGGCATTCTAGTTGCTATATCTTCGGAGATTCTTCCTGGTTGACGTCCGACAGGGAACACTCTGATCCTGAGTTTGCGGTGCAGGTCCGGCAGGGAACATTTTGATCCGGAGCTTGCGGTGGAGATCCGGCGGGGAACACTCTGATCCTGAGCTTGCGGTGGAAGTCTGGCGGGGAACGCTCTGATCCGGAGCTTGCTGTGGAGGTCCGGCGGTGGAGATCCGGCAGGAAACACTCTGATCCTGAGCGTGCCGTGGAAGTCCGGCGGGAAACAATCTGATCCGGAGCTTGCGGTGGAGGTCCGGCGGGGAACACTCTGATCCGGAGCTTGCGGCGGAGGTCCGGCGGGGAACAGTCTGATCCGGAGCTTGCGGTGGAGGTCCGGCAGGGAACAGTCTGATCCTGAGCTTGCGGTGGAGGTCCGGTGGGGAACACTCTGATCCGGAGCTTGCGGTGGAGGTCCGGCGGGGAACAGTCTGATCCTGAGCTTGCCATGGAGGTGCGGGGAATGCGGTGGAGGTCCGGCGCACTCTTATCCGGAGCGTGCTATGGAGGTCCGGTGCGGAACGCTCATGATCCGGAGCTTGCCATGGAGGTGCGGGGAATGCGGTGGAGGTCCGGCGCACTCTTATCCGGAGCGTGCTATGGAGGTCCGGTGCGGAACACTCTGATCCGGAGCTTGCGGTGGAGGTCCGGCAGGGAACAGTCTGATCCAGAGCTTGCGGTGGAGATCCGGTCTGATCATGCGTGCGGTGGAGGTCCGGCGGGGAACACTCTGATCCTGAGCTTGCGGTGGAGGTCCGGCGGGGAACACTCTGATCCGGAGCTTGCGGTGGAGGTCCGGCGGGGAACGCTCTGATCCTGAGCTTGCGGTGGAGGTCTGGCAGGGAACACTCTGAGGAGCTTGCGGTGGAGGTCGGGCGGGGAACACTCATGATCCTGAGCTTGCGGTGGAGGTCCGGCGGGGAACACTCATGATCCTGAGCTTGCGGTGGAGGTCCGGCGGGGAACACTCTGATCCGGAGCTTGCGGTGGAGGTCCGGCGGGGAACACTCTGATCCTGAGCTTGCGGTGGAGATCCGGTCTGATCATGAGCTTGCGGTGGAGGTCCGGCGGGGAACACTCATGATCCTGAGCTTTCGGTGGAGATCCGGCTGGAAACGCTCTGATCCTGAGCTTGCGGTGGAGATCCGGCGGGGAACACTCTGATCCGGAGCTTGCGGTGGAGGTCCGGCGGGAAACACTCTGATCCGGAGTTGCGGTGGAGATCCGGCGGGGAACACTCTGATCCTGAGCTTGCTTGCAGTCGAGGTCCGGCGGAGGCGGAGGCGGAGGAGGCGGGATAGATGACATAAAATCTAACAACCCTCACCTGACAGGTCTCAGATGGGGAAAAAGGATATTGAGTAGCGAAAAACTGCGTCAAAACGCTTCCTCTACCTTCCTCGAAACCAAATGCAAGGCTCGCAGATGAGGCCCCAGCACAACCCGCATGTTCTCGTTCCATGAGTGTCCAACACGGTACTCCTGAAACATCAAAGTTTTCCTGTACGAAGAACACCTTCCATATTCACACCAAGGATCATATTCACAGCGAGAGCATAGCTGTCTTTTTGTTCAACCCTCTCCGTGTAGGAACGTTTTGGATGGAAGTTGAAGACGAAAAGGCCTCGGATAAACATCAAAAAAGGGCTTGTCATAATACGGTTCAAAAGCCACAAAGAAAAGCATCAACACCTAATCTGTCAGCAGGATACTACAGAGATCTAAAGAGAACACACAGATGACGCAATGAAATCAATGACACTAGCACCACATATCGCATAAACTTACGACATCTTGCCAAGATACAATCTCCATGCTCGAAGACCACGACTTTGTCCGAGTCGTCCTCCCGCAAAACTTGAAAAACCAACTCGGTACCGCGCATACCACGCAGCCGCACGGACCTGCCTTGCGGGAACAGAAGTACCGCGGTGAGGCCATGAACCTCGAATCGGCGATGCGCAAGCCGTGCGACCAGTACGACCCATCTGTCATCTGTTAAATCTGTTACTTTAAGCTGCATTTTCTATCTGTACCATGATATACCATGATTATGCATTATAGTCCATCATAGTCCATCATGGTGGGATCCAAGAAACTTGAAGCGATTCTCCAGTGCGAGCATTGCTTCATCAAAGGCCTGGGGAAACACCGGAATCACACCCATGGAGATGCAGCAAGAACCGGCTGAGTTCACAGTGACATACTTTCCAACAACATGCAAACACACACAGCAAGGGAGAAAGCTCCCATTACGTCATTATAGGAACTATTCGAAGCAAGCTGGAGTAAGATGAAATAAGATGATACTCAATGACATCAAGCACAATGTGTAGCTCAACTCGAAAAAACAAGCCTCGAAGAACTTGTATTTCAAGTCTTCAGCTTGCGGAAGATCAAAACGCCGAATTGCATTCTGTAAACTCCAGCCTCCGAGTTCAAGCACTACAATCTAGACTGTGTACATGCAGCATGGGGTAGGAAGTGAGTATCCACAGCCATCGTGATCATTTCCAAGTTAGTTCTTCTCACACAATTCGAAGCCTGGGATGTTCCTTGAGCTACACACATGATTGAACCCTAAACATGTTTGTGTGTGTCCGGTGGATCAGAACATTCAGTAAAAGCTGAGTCGAAGTGTTCATTTTATAGACTTATTACTTATTATGTATCATATTATTATGATTATTATGTTGGGGCTTCCTTCAGGCCTGCCGTTCCCCACTTGGCTGAAAAAATGCTTTCCGGACATGCCACGGTCGCCTCTCTCTCTCTCTCTCTTTCCATGGTCGGAGCAACTGAGTGTGGCACCATTTGCTTCAGATGGGAGGTCGACAAAGTCTGGATGAGCAAATTCATTGCCCATGAAATTGAGGTAGCCCTCCAGTCAAGGTTGAAATGTGAATCCTTTTGAAGACGCTTTCACTGTTGCTTTCACGATCTTTCAAGGCCACAGCTGTGGTATCAGTACATCAGGTTGCAAAGGCGTGTGTCCTAAAATGGGGATCTCTGCCAGTTATGGCCATCTTAAATCATGTTGATAGGGACAATGATCATCAACCAAAAGATTTAGGGGTACCCTTGGGGTACCCTATATCTAAGAGAGAAAGCCATATCTGACATATCCGTAAGGGCCTGGTCCAAAAAATGCCCGCGCGCCTCTCCTCCCAGGCCCATGCAGACCAATCCTTGTCATGGTTGACCACTCTTAGTTTACTTGGCCTTACAGTAGGACTTCTCAAATCTTCCCAATACTCTGAAGCGATTCCAATCTACTCTAGTACTCCTAGTCTACGGATGCCAAAAGCTGGGCAGCGCCCTCTGGGCTTGCTGCGAATCATTTTGTGCAAGGCGAGACCACGTTCAATGACCATGCCTCGCTGGACAGGGATGGGGACTTTCGGACTTGCGGACTTGATCGACTCCCAGGCTCCCAAGAGTTCCCAAGAGTTCCCAAGAGTTCCCAAGAGTTCCCAAGAGTTCCGGTACAAGTTTGCTCTGAATGTCCAAGGTGCTCTCGGGGCCCGCGATGCTCATGTGAGCATACATTTCAGCCTTGGGGCTATCACATCTGCAAAAAAGCGACTCAAGTGCAACTCAATGGCTTCAGTGGTTCCATCACTTTCTCATATTTTGCCCGCTGAAAGACTCTCCGCTGTTCCAAGAGCCCCACATCCATCAAGTTGGAGGCAAGAGTCCTGGCTCCTGCCTTCGCCTGCAAACACACAGGTGGTAAGGTCACATGCGCAGGGAGTCCACCAAATACCGGGTCGTTCCAGAAAGTGTAGGACAGTTTTGCACTTTGGGAAACCAGGGGAAAACCTGAGTTTGACTGCAGTACATTGCCAGGCACATGGGAAAACAAGTAGATTTAGATTCATTTTGTCGAAGGCGAAATCGTATATGATCGACACCGCTTCGCAAGTTCCCTTCGGAGCGCCTGATCATGGCTTTCGGCAAAGGTGATGCAAGGCTCCTCAGAAAGGCAGAACATCACAACGGCAGAACATCAAGCCACACTGCATCGAGAGCCGTGGCTACGCCGCGGCTGAGCCGAGCTGTCCTTGAAGCGCCTCTTCCTGAGTGGCGCCGTGGAGTCTGTTCTAAATTCTACGCTCAGCTGGGGCGTTCAAGACATGCCGCAAAGAATCTGCAAATTCTTGACAACGCGGCTCACACTCCAAGTTTCATCGGGCTGCTCCTGTGAAGGAAAACATTCAAGACAGAGATCATTCCGCCAGGAGAGACAAATCAAAGGATTCACTTCTTCAATCTCTCCGTGCTTGTCCTGCAGCAGTTTTGCCCACATAGGCGGGATGTTGACTGAGAGATTGTAGTCAAAGCCTTGAAACAACATCGTGATGTATTTGTAAAAACAGACTCAGTCTGCCTGTATTCAGACTTCCTTGATCGGTGAAACTAGAGGAAGCGACGTATATGGTTGGGCAATGGTTGGGCAACATATCCCAATCTTTCTGCTACTTGCAGAACTGTAGCATGCTCATGTTTGGACACTCAGTTAAGATTCTTGCCAAAACCACCATCATCAACTGCACGGCACAAGGTTGGCATGGAAGAGAAATCCTGCAAGCTGAAAGAGACTTTCAATCCAAACTGTCTGAAAACTCCATGAAGAAAGGCCGGCTAAAAAAGAACTTGGAAGAACAGGAATCCTGCAGCTTGTCAATGCAAAGGCAAGAGAACCGAAAGGCATAGCGGCATAGCGTTGCTAGACAGGTCTTCATCTCTTTCGTTGTACTCTCCGCTCCATGCCATTCCGTCAACCGTGCCGTTGCTGCGTCCTCAGCAATGGTCAAGCCTGATCTGGGTAGCAGCCTCTTGACCAAATAGTTTGCGAGCATCATATAGGTACCAGACCTGGGCTGATGAGGTTACCGATCTCAACAAATGTATACAAAACTGATGATGGGCACTACATGATACTAGATATGATGGACAAAGCGATACTACATGCCACTGGAGAATGCAAGGTATGAATAGATATATATGATATGCAAAATATGTAAGCTATAAATTGGAAGACTGGTGTATGATCAAGGGCCAGGCTCGGTGTCTGCATCCATACCAAAATACCTTGCACTGATGCAATCTTTGGTCGCGGAAGAAACATGAAGAAACTCCGGAAAGTGTCTCCAGGATCCAGGCTGATGATAGTCATGACCAAAGTGCTTGCCGATTCCGTGCGAGATGTACCTTACAAGGATCAAAACAGAATACCTACACCAGATCCAATAGATCAAACCAACAAAAGAGCCAAAGACTTAAGGACCGGCCAAGGAAGAGCCTTGGTAGTCTAGTGTAGTCCGGTTGTACAAAGGTACCTTCTCAGTTAAACCACCCAACCAGGAGAAACATGTGCAATCTATATGTAAAGATTTAAAGATTCAGACGTATAATACCGTATACCCGGCTGTCAAGTTGCAGCATGCTAGTAACACCACCGAAGCGGAACCCATCGAATCCATACTCCTGGAGGGCTGGAGATGGCTGGAGACTGGGCAGTGCTGCATGCTGAAGCTTCCCTCTCCTCAATCCACCACCGGATATTGGAAAGCAGAAATCGAAGCACCTCAGCCGTAACGCAAAAACAGGCAGAGAATATTATGCACAAGGGGTACACTATGGTATATGGTATGCTCAGATACACACCTCGTATTTACCATAGTCGAAGAGCGAAGCATGCCATTGGTCCTGAAGCTTCAACACACACCTCTCGGTCAGCCCTGAATAGCACAGCATAGTACAGCAGAAGAGTTCAGCCACTCCTGCTTGCCCTTGTGACCACCATGCCTCGGGTTCTCTAGCATAGTTCAGAACATGCCACGACCGGTTAATTCACACCCGAGTTGCCAAACCCGGACTTGACAGAAACGAGAAAAGCAAACTGGCGAAACTAGGACCTCTGCGTGTAGCAATGGTCAGTGCCATCCATAGCTGCAATTCCATCAACCCTCAGTGTGGACTTCTTTCTGGCAGAAAAGGTGAAACATCTTCCACATGTTTCAATCATGCTTGCCAAATCTGTCCCAATCAGCCCAACATGACTTCCAGTGATTCTATATGATTCTATATGTGCTTCACCCATGAAGATCATGGAGGGAAACGCAGGCCGTCGAAATCGTCGAATTTCCATGAATTTCCAGCTTCCAGGTGCTGGACTGGTTCGAAGAGCAATGTGAATGGACCAAGTCCATCAGCACAGTCAAGCCGTAGGCGTGAGCTGTGTCAACCAATTCCTGGCTGTTTTTTTTTCCGCGTCTCACAACTGAAGTTGGATGAAGACAGGATGACACGGGTCTGCCTTCAGCTCATCTGGCGTACCAAACCGGCTGGATGGGGCGAAAAAGCTGGTGACCTGGTAGCCTTGGGATCGAATTGGGATCGGATCAGTATCAGTGACAGAAAGTGTAGCTAGACGTTGGCATCGTTGACGAAGTGGAAGTTTCCATCAATGGGGGTACCCCAATAGCTGGATGGTCTGTAGATGTTTATAGTGGAACATCCTGGTAAAACGGATGGTTTGGGGGTACCCCCATGACTTAGGAAACCTTCAACTCCAGCTGTTGGAAGCTTAGATCAAAGCCAAAAGAACTCGCGTTCGCATGCTCCGCGACGGCCATGATCTGACAGGAAAAGTCCATCGTCAGTCAGTCAGTCAGCAAAACGGTCAGGTCTCGATGAAACAACGGTGGCCTGCAAGGCGTTGTAGCCCAAGCGTTTGATCCGAGGCAGAATATCTTTGAAGTCTAGGTACCTTAGCTATCTATAGCTGCACTATACCTATCTTTGCTGTTTCAGTCTCAGTTGCAAAATTCCCATGTCACAAAAGTTGTGGTCATTGTGGACAGAATTGCCGAATACGACGAGACGGTGTCGAACAGTAACACCAAAAAGGGTTCATGTGCAAATCCTTTGCCCTCCTCTTTTGCTTCGTATGTTCTGCCAAAGAGCGTGTGTATTCGTTCCTCTGTGCCTGCAATGCCTCACATCGGCACACTTTCCAGCACGACAATGTAAGGCATGATTGGCGATGAGAAAAAACAGCATCAAACAAGATGAACAAGCTGAGCATTCCCGGTATTTCCCAATCCTAAGGAGCATTCCGGCTTTGAAACACAGCTGCCACGCCCTGCCTAAGTGGGCTTCGTAAATCTTCAGGTTTGCAGGGCGGGGCGGCCTGCAGTCAAAACTGCTAGGCGCAATGGTTGAGGGTCTTCTGTCACCGCGATGAAAACGGAACCTGATGGAACCTGATATCTCATAGTGATTCTCAGTGGTCCTTCCACACATCTCCCTTCCGAGTCAAAGAATGTGTGTCTATTTCCTTCCGCTCATCGCTTTCAGGCAGAGTGCTTAAGCAAAGGCTAGGAGCAGTAATCCATGGTTCCAACAAACCTATGGACTTCTGATGTAGAAGCGTTCGTATTTCTCGTTGGTTGAAGTCCAATGAATGTCTTTATACCTCCCATCTCACCTGGATTCACCTGGATTTTGCTCCTTGCCTTCCCTATCTTCCCTTACGATGATATTCGAAGTATGTCGTCATGGGAAGTCTACTGAGTCTACTGAGTCTACGGTCCAGGCCTTGCATGTCTCATGACGTAGCGTTCTGAGGGAGGCGGCTCCCACATGATACCGTTGAAGACACCGATCTCCCGGTTCTGCAGGCTATGAAAAAAATACAAAACCTGCTGAAGTCTGCTGAAGTCTGGTTCAGAAAGATTCCATTCGAAGAGGTCAGCTGAACTTGACTTTTAAAGAGAAGTTTCCAGCCAGGTCCTTGCAGGCAAGCTTGGTCCAGGCTGGCACGCGATCTAGGGAGCCATGGTCCGATTGTATTCTGAGACCTCAAAGTTGTCAAAGGCAAAGGATTGAAACAACTATGCAATGCATGCAATGCAGCAAGATTTCCACTTTCTTATTCCTCCAGCTTGAGGTGCTTGCGAAATTGGGACCTGCCACCCAAAAGGAAATGCAAGGCAAAATGGACATTTTAAGTGTTGTGAGCTGGTCCTTTCGGTTCTAGCACCAGAACGCAAGAGTTTAAGAGCATTTAAGAGCCATCGGATCGCTCCGAGCGGAGAAAGACCTTTAATTCAACACTGAACAAAGCACAATGCCTTTTTCTATGTCTTGGTAGTGATCATTCCAACATGTCTTGTGAAGTCAAGGAGTGAGTTCCTCTCTCTTCATCGGATTTCAAGTTGGATCAAGCGGAACATATGCCGACTCCATTCGCAGACAATTATTGGCAGTAGGCGTGAAAGCAATGCAAAAAGGATGTGTATATGTATGTATATGTGCGTATATGTGTGTATATGTGTGTATATGTGTATATGTGTGTATATGTGTATATGTGTGTATATGTGTGTATATGTGTGTATATGTATGTATATGTGCGTATATGTGTGTATATGTGTGTATATGTGTATATGTGTGTATATGTGTATATGTGTGTATATGCGTGTATATGTGTGTATGTGTGTGTATGTGTCTGTGTATGTGTGTGTATGTGTTTGTGTTTGTGTGTGTGTGTATGTGTGTATGTGTGTGTATGTAAGTATGTATGTATGTATGTGAGTATGTATGTATGTATGTATGTATGTATGTATGCATGCATGCATGTATGTATGCATGTATGTATGTATGTATGTATGTATGTATGCATGTATGTATGTATGTGTGTTTGTATGTATGTACGGATGTATGCATGTATGTATGCATGTGTGTTTGTATGTATGTACGGATGTATGCATGTATGTATGCATGTGTATGTATGTATGCATATGTATGTATGTCTGTCTGTCTGTATGTATGTATGTATGTATGTATAGTAAAAGTGGAAATTGACCCTGAAATCCAGTAGTTCGCGAAGATATCAGGTAGATGAGATGTGCAATGCAATGCCAGCGAGCGCGAAGCAAAACAATTTCACAAAGGTAGAATGCAGTGTAGTGAAATGACAGTTGAATGCGAAGCAAACACAACACCAATGCAGCGATAGCGCAAGCCGCAGCATTTTGCAACTTGAGCCAAATAAGTGAAATCAACAACCCCCCTTGTGATTTTTGTACATCCACTACTTTGGAAGTTGGCTAGGCTACAAACCGTAATCCATGCGGGTTTGGGTCCTTCCTCTTCTGAGTTCGGACTAAGCCTATTTCAGGCCAGTACCAAATGTCCCTGCCATTTCAATTCAAAGGGTGCCCTCACACCGATTGTAGATTCATGTTGCGCCCACCAAAGCAGTAGCGCAAGAACTGTGCGAAGCCATAGCGAGAACTGCCACAGCGAAGCTGCCGCGAGAATCTGCATTCAAGGCTCAAAGTGCTCCAAAGGTCCTGCCAGGTTGAGAGAGATGCCTAAGAATTACTCCTTGCTATATGGTGGAACTCTTTGTGGCTTTCTCTTCTGGCGTTTCTTGTAACCAGTTCTGACTCCAGGGGTAGCAGTCTGGCATAGTGCCTGGCTAAAGTCGATTGTGAGCTTCAGTCCAGTCTGGCTTGATGAGATTACTGTGTATTCTCGTACCAGTGCCATCAGCTTCATTGCGTTAACCCAGAGTGGTCCAGCAACTGCCTTCGTGAATACATCGGCTTTCTGGTCTAAAGACCGTACCAAGGACAGGGAAACATCTTCCTTGTTCAACTCCTCTGCAAGAGAAGACAAACTGATTTTCTGTGTGCGTTTCAAATATCTCAGTTTCTTGGAATAGCCTGATGCAACTACTTTTGCTGTTGCTTCGTTATCCTCTCGGACATTCAGTCTGGTTGAAGGACCAAGAAGAACCTTGAAGAGCTCGAGTAACGGCAACCCCTCTTCAAATAGCACAAAATTGAGAGCCGCAGTCTCCGCTTCTGTAGTCGAGCGGGCAACAGTGGACTGCTTTTTCGATATCCATGCTAGCGGGAACTGCGTCGCTGCCCCCGTCAGCTGTATCCACCCACCACTGGTGGAATAACAATCTTGTTCGTCTCCACAGAAGTCTGCGTCCACAAACCTTTCCACATAGATGTCCTTCGGCTCGTCGGCGATCCAGCCAGTGAGGAGGTCATTCTGCGTGTGGTACAAGTAGCACATGATTCTGTGAAGGTGAGAGTCGCAAGCTCGGCCCCAACTGTGGATCTTGGTAGCCAACCATGTCGTTGCTCGTAGAACGTCAGGCCGCGCAAGGCGCGCAATCCACATCAATTTCATAAGGATGGAACTTGCTGATGATGCTAGCTGCCCCTCTGCTTCCTCCAATTCGTCAAGCTGCTCTGCAACCTTGGCAAGGAAGGGAGCCGAAGACTTCCTGAAAACAGTAGTGCCGGTCAGCGTAGCATACTCTTGAACAATGTCTTTGGCATAGGCCCGCATATCAAAGGCGAACCTCTCTTCATTCCCACACTTCACCGTAGTGTGATGACGTCCAAGAAATCGACCCAGGTCACCGATGTCATCGATTAGAATCCTCTTTCCAAGGTCATGCCAAAAGGTAGAGTGCATAGTTTCATCTCCAGCTAGGACAAAGTCATCCACATAGACGATGAGTGCAAGGTTGCCATAGTTTGGAAAATAAATGATGGAAATTCTCCAATTGGAACGCCACCCATGTCAGCCCATACAAGCTTTTCAGAAGTCTGATCACAGGTCTCCTATACTTTGGAGTTCCATCTGCATTGAACCATGAACTCGGCCAAATTCCTCGTGGAAGTCGCACCCAAGTTTCTGCAAGGCTGTCCAACCAACTCTGTAGATAGGCCTTGATGGCATCAGCAGAGTTAAGTTTGTGACCCTTTAGAAGGCCATAGGCAATGATTGCATTTGCAGCCACAATGGAAGTTGGTGACGCCGACAACGTCTGGTAGGCCGCAATCTTCCCATCCGCTGTACGTGCTGCATCTCCACGGTAACATACACGACCCTTCAAAGCTCTAAACTGTGGCTCCAGCTCGACGTGTTTTTCAGAGCAAATGGCTAAGAGATCTGCAAGGTGGATTGTAGTATTGTTCTCAATGGCCCTCTTTCTAACCACAGAATCTTCTTCCACACTCTCAAAATCCCAAGTTCCCATCTTGCCTATGCCGTCGAATTCCTTCTTAATGGCCTCAAGAGCATCAGGTCTTGCAATCACCTCTGATCGAGGAAGCTGTCTCGTGACCATAGCAGGAACTGTGCCTTCATCATCATTGGGAGGACATTCTGGAACTTCATCCAAGTCCAAAGGACCCACAGATTCTGCCATAGATGGTGTGTATTCGCCTCCCTCTACGTCCTCAATGGGTCTCGGTGTTGGACCGACAGGTTCACCTCGATTGCTAAAAATTGCATCGAAGCGATCTTTGCATTCTTGGCTATGTCGATTGTGTCCCATTGTGCGGCCAGCACAACCACGTGTGAAACCATGTTTCATGAGTCTTGACCATGTGATGTATGCATGCCGCTGAGCTGTTGGCTTCCCCTCAATCGGGTAAGCATCAATGCCAATGTCGTACGGCAGAACGGCCTCTGTGAAGGACCGGTCATAGATCTTCTTCGCCAGCTCCTTCTCAGGCTCTGTCATGTCGAGCAAGGCTTGTTTGGCCGCTCTTGCCAAAGGAAACTCAATGTGCTCAGTTGGCAGAAAGTAAACCTCCTTAGCCTGGATCTGGTTTGGAACCCAGTGCAAGTGTGAGCGCGATGTCACGGCCTCATAATCAAGGATGAGAACGCTCCCCTTGTACTGCAAACCTGGTGACACATGCCATCCAACAACTCCTGGTTTTGTACCTGGTTCAGAAAGTCCATCTCCCTTTGCCTTGTAAAACACCAAAGCTCCCAGGAAATTTTGGCCCATCAAAAATTTGGCCCGTGGCAATTTCATATCTAGTCTTCCTGCCACGCTCGTGGCGCAAAACTGGACTGAGACCAAAGAAAGATCTTGCCTTGGCTGTAAAATCAACCGACAATGGCCATAGCTTTTTCTGAAACCCAGCTGCAACATGAGCAGGACGTGCAAGTTCCTTCAAAGATCGAACTTCACGTTCACAATTGGCATTGTGTGGCCAAAAACCTGGAACTGATGGGTCTGATATCCATCCAAGTTTGTTTGCTGCTCCAGTGAGTTCACGTGCATGGTCTGAGATGAAAACAACACCCTTCTTTCCCGTCAACCTCTTCCCCGCAAAATGTCGTAAGGATTCATGGTTGGCATCAAGAGTTCCCTCAGACTGCGGGTACACAATGACTAGACCTGAATAACGGTCTCTAACCACCAAAGCTGATTGTTCCTCAGATAAGCCTCTGGCATCTTGAGAAGGAAACATGTGGTCGGCCTCAATGATGTCGCCGAAAGCAGTTGCACGATGGATCAGCTTCTCATCATCTTCATCTTCTGCCCTGATCCGCTTGCAGTATCGTTTCAACATGTGACCCCTCTGACAAAACTCGCAGAAAGGGTTCTTGCGATCATGTAGCGTAAGATGTTCCAGAGAGTGCTTCTCGTCGCAATCTTTCCTCTCGCGACTCATGGTCCTCCCACTCATCATCAGCAGGTGCACCGTCATCGTCGACCTCTGCAAGTGCCATCGGGTCAACCGACTCCACAATCATAGGTTCTGGTTCTGGTTGTTCAATTGGTTCATTGTCTCGGTGAGGTTGTAGATTCGTT